TAGCCCATGAGGCGAAGCCTCATGGGCTATTGACCCGTGGCCCTTGAGGGCGAAGGGTCTAATTGTTTTAGTATCACCCAACTAGTGGGACAGAAAAGGGAAATAATAAAGTTAGCAAATGCAAGTTTAAGAAATATTCATTTGGGAATAAAACGAAAGAAAATGTCATGCTCGATGGCGCCAATTTTGCTACCCGAGGACTATTACTAATAGTCCTCTAGTAGCGTAGCCAATTAAAATGCAGGATTTGCATTAGTCCACTAGTTGGGTGATACTAATAGTTGATATCTGTAGAGTTTTGTAAGAGAAACAACAGTCCCGCGCTCTCAGCCCCTAATAATTTTGGTTGTTTTGTCCTTAATTGAAACTTATACTGGCATCAAAAATTCTGAAACATCAATTTAAAACAAAAGTTATGGGTATCGGTCAATTTATAGCAAAAGCCACGAAACGGAGAACGTTTTAGGCGTCAGTGCAACATCATCCAGACGGAAAGATCAAAGTGGTACAGTGTGATTGTAGTTCTAATCTAGCGCAACTTTAATTCCATTTTTAGCAAAGCCATCCGAACGCACAGAGCAAGAAGCTGCAGTACTCTCAAATAAAGACAGTAATCAAGGTAAATGCAAACACTCCCAGGCACTGACATACATCAGACTCTTCGCTAATATCTCAAATATCCGTTCATTGGAATCATACGCGGAACTCGTTGGATACAGTTACCTTTCCTCGGTAGCAGAATAATAATCACTCTAGCCAATCACAAAGGGAACACACAAATACAGTGAACCAATCAAGACTCAAAGTGATTACATGTAGCCGACGCAAAGCGCGGGAAAACGTGTGCGAGCGAGTCATAATTGGTTTTGCTTTTACTTCTGATTGGATGGAAAAGTGGCGCGAGTTTTTCAAGCAAATAATGTAACGTAGTTGATGTAAAACCCATTACTTTTCGACACTCAAATGAATATTACTCTAACGGTTATACCCACAGAATAAGTGTAAGCACCCTCATTCCCCTTTTCAATGTTGGAAAATGGTAAAATACAAACTTGTGTTCGATGGGGAGGGGCAAAATGCGCAAAAAATGAATTTTTCCAACCCTTGTGACCAAGCCTGCAGGCGGGGTGGAAAGTAGAAATACTCCAACTAGCTTAAATGCTGGGGAAACAGGAGATCAGCGCCGGGCTGATGGGCCACTAAGCTCAAACGTAGGCTTGGCCTTACCTTGATCCTTTGCTTTTGTAGAACTGAACTTCAACGCATGTCTTGTTAACTCAAGGCAGCCTGGCTTATCTTTCTTTACCTTTCTTTCACAGTGTGCCTGAACTTCCTTCACATCACGTTTGCATCGACTGCTTCCTTTGCCCTTGGTGTGATGACGATCTTGTTAATACTCCTTCTGAAGTGGTACAAGGAAAGAAACAAGCAAACCGAAATGGAGGTGCAGGTGTGAAACGGCTGAGACGCCGGACGCGAACCAATAGGTTTCAGAATTCGCCATTGTGCCTTTGATTACATTTTCTGTGTTAAACAATTTGAAACTGTTATTTCTAAATCACGCTATTGACGAGCTTTTGTAATTTCCATACTTTCAAGCTATTGAGTAGTTGTTTAATTGTTTCAGTATTAAGCTATTGATTAAATCACTGACGAGATCCAAAGTGTACTAAGCTATTGAGTAGCTGTTTAATTGTTTTAATATTAAGCTATCGATTAAATCACTAAGATATCCAATGTGTACTAAGCTATTGAGTAGCTGTTTAATTGTTTCAGTATTAAGATATTGATTAAATCACTGACGATATCCTAAGCTATTGAGTAGCTATTTAATTATTGGTAATTATTTTAATTATTGTAGCTAATTTATTTCAGCTATTTTTTTTTATTATTATTATTATAGTTTACTAAGCTATTGAGTAGCTATTAAATTATAGGTAATTATTTTTATTAATTACTGTAGCTATTTTATTTCAGCTATTTTTTTAATTATCATTAGTTTACTAAGCTATTGAGTAGCTATTAAATTGTTTCAGTATTAAGCTATTGATAACATCACTGACGATATTCAATGTGTACTAAGCTATTGAGTAGCTATTCAATTATTACCTATCGATCATTGATCATCAGTGTCATTGTCCACTAATCCAATGTGGTGTAAGCTATTGAGTAGCTGTTATCATTGCACAAGTGATTAGGAAACTAATATCATTGTATTGAGCTATTGAGTAGCTTATATCTTTCCCTCAAACTTTTGAGGAGCCATTATCATTGTATAAGCTAGCTATTGAGTGGTAATCATTAGTTGAGAATCCACTTTTATGAAGCTACTTGTGCTGACGCTGCGGACAATAATTGATTATTACAACAATTTTCAAGATATGTCATTTATGAAAACCCTTTTAAAGGATCAGTAATTAACGATGTGATCAGTTAGAGCTGTTAGGTGTTACTTCTTACTGTGTGCTACTGTGGAAATAAAAGTCATTGACTTAAAAAAATTCTCTTTCGTCGTCATTTCTCTATTCGGCAAAAGATCGATCGCCAGCAAGATTCTGTCTTCGTTCTCTGTCAAATGTGAGATTTTGATCAAAACATTTGAAAACATTGCATTGCCCGCCACAAAAACACTGAAGTTTATAATTCGATAGTCGCGCATTTGTGAGTGGCACCACGTGAAACAAGGCATTTTACCGAGAACCCTGAACATATTTCTAAGCACTTGACTTTATTAACTTGATCAAACTCCTCTTAACAAACATGTAATTTCAGTCGCACAGTACAATTTACAGTGCAGCGCGCCTTAACGTAGGCTCGATTTCCCGCCGTTTTGGGAGTGCGGTTGTTTATCCTCCTCCCAACGAGGAGTGGTGCGGGGCAAGGAACGCGGGCTCACTAAACGGCTGGAAATCGAGCCTAGCCTTAGCTTAGCCTGTGGCCAGTTAACAAATTTTCCTACAAGTTAGTCAATCAGGATGCACGATAAAGGGGTTTGTTCAGTGGAACACCAAGACTTGGCCCATGCTGTTAGCTGAAGTGGCCGAAAAAATTGCGTTTTCAGTCTGTTCCAAAACGAGTGTTTGGTCGATTCGTCGAAATTCCTTGTAATCAGGAGCTCTGCTTGTAATGGATCCTTTTCGCCAGGGCCTTTCTGGGGACATACTTGCAAGAGCCTATAATGGGTCCAAAACCTGAACAAAGGAGTTTCGAAGACCATCCCGTACGGAGACTAGTCTTTTACACTTTCCCCTTCTTGCGAGGAACATTATGAGAGGGAGGGAGGGCTATGTGAGAGTTAAGACCTGACATTTTTTGAGTTCGATAAGGAGAAGGAATGAAACTTTTTCAACCCCTCGGGCGTTTTATTTTCACCCCACGTCACGCTCTTAGATCTACAACTACGTGCTAACAACAAGACGTTTTCAACTTTTATTGGAAGAAATGATTCAGAGATTTTAAAAAGTGTTACTACCCTTCCCATTAGACCGCGACAACCACGATTTGCCGCCTTCAGAGTAATTTTTTTGATGTCACGAGCCTTTTTCAAACCAATCACGTGATATATCTAAAACAAACTGATTGGTTTAAACCAAACAAGCGACATAAAACGATACTCTGAAAGCGGAAAAAAAATTCGCGGGCGTGGTGGTCTACTGGGAGGAGTATATAGTACAGTATGGGGATAAGCCTCGCGTAAGTTCTTTCAAAGCCATAACCTATAACAACCTGCTATCAGACTCTCAGTCTCTTCCGC